CTCTCAGACCCCACTAATCCCAAACAGTCTTTCTCATTAAGTAGGCCAGGCCCTCTTGGTCCGCACATGCTCTAAGGCACCTATCACCTTATGGGCTGCTCACGGCCTGTGACCTCCCCTAGAGCTGTGCCCATGTTTCACAGATGTTCCCAATCATAGAATCGTAGAAAATTAGGGTTGGAAGGGACCTCAGGATCTCATCTAGTCCAACCCCCTGCTCAAAGCTAGACCATCCCCAACTAGAATATTCCAGCTGAAGGTTTGTCTAGTCAGGTCTTAAAAACCTCCAAGGTTGGAATTTCCCCAACTCTCTAGGTAACCTCTTCCAATGCTTTACTACCCTCCTAGTGAGAAAGTTCTTTCTAATATCTAACCCTAACTTATCTTGCTGCAACTTTAATCACCACTTAGATGGGCACTTTGCCCCAAACATCAGGCTACCTCAGGCCTCCACTCCCTTGTTGGGGCCTCAGCCTTCCAAGCCTCTGCCACCTGCTGTGGCTGGTCCCTTTAGCCTAGACTCACTGCACTGGACCTGACTTCTAGGGCTCCAGCTCTTGTCTCACCTTCTTTGGCTGTTAATGTTGCCCTTCCCAGGCTGTGGGCCTCTGGCCTTAGGCTTATCTCTTCTCTAGGCTGGGGCTCTCTAGGCCTGTCTCTGCCCCTCTTGGGCTGTAGATTCTCTCACAGGCACTGGGCTCCTGGCTTGGTCTCTGTCTCTTTCTTTTTAGCTGTCTCTAGTGGTGGACCCCCAGCCCTGAGTCTCACCTTCTTGGGCTACACTGCAGCTTGCACCCTGCTCTGGCAAGCTACAGCCTCATGTGCCTCCCTGGCACCTGGGACCTTCTGTCACCCCTACTAGTCCCAAACCAAAGCCACTGGTTAAAACTCAAGCAAAATGTATAAGTACTCTGGCTCTAATAAACTCCAAGCCCACTGGCTGTCTAACAAGCTGGGAAGCTTGCCTTGGGTCCTGTCCCCCTTGCAGCAAGCATTCAGTCTCTTACAGCATTGTCAGGGCATTTCAGGAGTCAGCACAGCCTCTCACTGCAGCTTTCCAGAGTAGGAGCTCTTCTCTTTGCAGCTACCAGGGTCAGGCTGCCTGTCTGGACTCAGGCACTGGCTTTAAGAGTCTCCTAAGCCCAGCCCCATCTGGTCATGTGCCTGCGGGCACTCACAGGAGTTCCCCCTTGATGATAACCTGCCTGTTCCTCCTGGTAGGACTTAGCTCATCTGCCTGCAGCATGTTTCTGGGCTGCTTCACTGACTGCCCTTGGCACATTTTACTGCTCTGCCTCCATCCCCAAGCGGAGTTACCTTCTCATGGTTAGCCTCTACCTGTGCCTCACAGTCTAGTTTGTTTTCTGGCAGCCGTTTTATTAGCAACTAACTTGTTTCCCAGCTCCCAGTCCTCCCTGAGCTTAGCGTGCTCTACTTTCCTTTTAAAGTAACAGGAGCCTTCTGGTTCCCTTTTACAGAGCGCTTTGTTATTAAAATTTTTACGTGAAAACAGGGGTTTTGCTTTAAATTCTCAGAATTCTCACTTATGTGTGAAGTCAGAATTTCTACAGCAACCACTATGATGTAATGCATTATTTTGACTTTAAAAGGAAATAGTTGCAGAAACAGATGAGTTCCTGAAACAAAAGACCTGTTTTCATTCAGATATCTTTAGTAATAAAGAAAGAGGAAGACAAAATTTTAAAAGCATGATCTTTACATTACTGATTCTGCTGATCTTCTCAAAGTAACACTGCATTATGCAGCAGTAGTTTTAAAGAACCAGTGGCACCGGACCAAAATGATCTTAAGCAGTAATTAAGTACTCTGCTTTTTTGGCTAAAATCATTCTTTAAAATCTGCCTATAGGTCGGTGCATTTTTAAATAAATATTAATGCTTAAGACAAGATACCAACTATCAACATTGTTGATAATCTAGGAAAAGAGACTATCTTGCATTTACAAAATAAACAGGGTTGAGTTCTGCTCTCAGTTACACAAATACAAAAGTAACTCAGTTTTCCTCAGTGAAAATATGTCAGAATATAGGCATGATACTATGGCATATTGAGTTCATATTTACTTCTTTGAGGGTCAAGATAACTTAGCACCTCAGAGAAGGCAGTTATCTTGACTGGAAGAATTTGCCCTGGAGACATTACTTACACTGGGGGAATTTTCCTAAAATCCCAAAATTGATAAAATGCAGCTTGTTTTTAAAAAAGCTTCCAGGAGATTATCCTTCTGACTGGTTTAGTCAAATATTCGTTGTAAAACCCAATCTAGCCACCAGAATCTTGTTTACACTGAAACTCCAACTAATTCTATAGTTATTTTTTTCTAATTTTCTCCAATTTACCCAAGTGTCCTTGAGTTATGGGGGCAATATATGAAACGTTGGACTTCTCATCGGATACTCTACGACTGGTAGAAGGAGCAGGAGCATAGCTGACAATCATTAAAATTATTGTGAAAAAAAATTAATAAAATGAATATGATCCTTTCCCTGAGATCATAATCAGTCCTCAAAAATGTTATGTTATGGTATTTCTAGGTGTGACAAAGTATCAAAAGTCCACATGTCCCAATATAGCCTTGACACTGCACTGCATGGGTTGAACGTTACCATTAATGATTTTGCAGTATTAACAAATCAATGGCAAGACAGACCACACTGCTATAAATCTTGAGTATAGCAGGAGTGACTCAGGTGTTTTTTTTTAATTGACCAAAATCTGCTTTCATTTGTGTTGGTGCAATCCCTGTGAAAGCAATAACTGAGAAAAGAATTTGACTGATAGGAATTATAGTCAGCTTTCTTAACAGTAATGATAATGACTCAAGTGTTTATGGAAAAGTAGCTACTTCCCATAGACAGGACCGCTGTTTCAGGAGCATGTACATTTAAAACCCAACAGTTTCCCTTGTTCACTATTTCTCAGCAAGCATGTCACCACAGAGGTAGTAGTTCCCATTCACAATCCAAGTGGGGAGGCATATTGGCATGATATGGTCACTGTCCACATTTTTTCTGTTCTGTACATTAGACAGAGCATGACAGTACTTAGGACTGGCAATCGGACATCTTTCAGCAGAATAAAAACTGGGATAACTAAAGGAATTTAATATTAATGAATGTTTGTGAATATTTCAATGTAAAAAAGGAATGTTTTCATTTGAGTGTGGTATGGTAGTTTAGTTTAGGTTTTGACACCTGTAAAACAACTTTTAGTCCAGAATATTGTTTTACAAACAAGCTCTGAATTCATACAAGTGGCAATGTATCTTTTGTGCAATCAATTGTAGAGTCAAATGTAGGCTTAGGTTCAAATTCTACTTTCTTTATCAGAATAAATCTGTCTAAAGTCAGTGGACTAGTCATATAAATTAAGGAAACTAGGATTTGGGTCCTGATGTTGCTCCAACTGAAATTAAGTAGTTCTGCCACTGGTTGTAGTGGCACTAGGGTATGTGCGTGTTCTGTGAATTATTTAGCAGAAAAGCAAACATGTTACTAAACACTGGTAAAAATATTCCTACAGCTGTCAAGTAGTGATGATGCTCATTGGTGGATTGGACTAGGCTCAGAAACTCCTAGTGATACATTTCGGTAAGAATATAGTGATGTGTACTTGTAATATACTGCTCTGTACTCCTGTTAATAGGTCTTGTTTAAAAGTCGCCCTTCCATTTGTTATATTGGCAAAGCACAGACAGTCAAAAAGCCGGAGGCTGAATTGATTCAATCTTTGCAGGTTAATCTAAACTGCATACCAACTGATAAGCAAGTAAACAGACATTCACTTTTGACTCTGGAACTGCAGCCACATGCATGCAGTTGCCCAAGCAAGAAGTTAGAGGGGGCTCTAGAGCATGGCTCCCTGCTTGGCTGGAACAGGCAGCTTAAGCCATGGCTAGCCCGCCCACCCTGCAAGTGGGAGGAGGCTTGCGGGAAAGGTGCAAAGCATCTGGGATGCTGGGGGACTGTGAGATAGTTGAACTTCTGTGCCACATCTGCTCCAGATTCTAGTTAACTGATTTAACCTAAACCAGTTAGGTTTGATACTATGTCCGTCCAGCTGTATCTTCAAAATGGCTAAAACTGTTTTAAAACGGTTTATGTGCACTGAACTTCTATTGTGTTACAGATTTGAACCAGTTTCCAAACACTTATACCAGTTTATATGCAATTTCTGTCCCTAGCCATTGAGATTGCACTAAGCCTTCAAAACAATCTCAAGGATCAGTGCATTCTTATGTATTTAGAATCAATTACTGTTGTTTTTATACATATTATAGTATTTCTGCTGAAATACATAGATAACAGATATAACATAAACATGTGACTAGTTTTCATGTAAGTTAATTAAGGGACATTTCTTAGCTTCCATGCTGCATTTATAAATAAAAGTGAATATATAAGTACAGAAATAGGTGAGAGCATGTCATTAATTATTTAACATTGCTATGCAGCTGGAAAGATGGGTTACCAGTAACATATCAGAACTGGAACAAATTGAGAGACGGATCTGTGCATGCACAAGAAGGAAGATGTGTCTTCATGTCATCACAAACAGGTCAATTTTACATTTCCCTTTGTTCCATTAATCATAAATTAATAATTCTATGGGTCTGAGGGGTTCTGATGGCTTTTTTGCAGACTTAGACTAAGATTTTGTATTTGACTAAAACAATAGAAATAATCTACTATGTAACTATTTTTTTTGATGTGTGGAATTTAGATAGTGACACTTCTAATACATGTTTATCACTAGATAAGTATTCCATTGTGTAAAAAAGTAATAGAAAAAATAGTATAAATTAGTTTAAGGTGCCTATATATCTTAAAGGTTCCAGCTTTTATATCAAAACTATAAATTGTCCAATCATGCCAGGAATCTTTAGTGCACACTAAAAGTCTTTTATCTGGAATTGTGTGTGTGTGTCATTTTTCATACTCAGTTGTTAAATGATCCAGATGGATTTAGCACTGGGTTTTCATATTTTTGTACACTGTTTTTACATCAACACAAGAATGTAGTAACCTAGCACATAAGCAAAATGTTGGTCCTATAACCAATTTGCATAGGTATTGTGGATAGAGTGTTTTGTTTATCCCCCTTGTTAGGCTTTCCATCATTCATTACTTGGATCTGTGTTTTGCTACTGTAAATAAAATAAGTTTACAATTTTGCAAACTCGTATGATTTTACCATGAATCTTGGAATACATGTTTTTCTTAAAGCACAAGATTCAGAAATCATATGCGAATCTCTGTTTTCACTGCAAAAGACGTTTCTAGCCTTCATGACTAGCATAAAAAAAATCTAAAATCTATTATGTTTAGGAATCCGATGATTTTAACTAATGTCCTGATTTTGGCGGGGCTGACTAATGATTTTGTGAGTGCTTGAGTTTGGCAGGTCAGCTCTAGATAAAGGGCTGTGTGCTTTTTGTAGTAATTTTATGAGTAGGTAGATAAGAAATGTGAACTGTGTAGCTTTGTGTTGTTACCTTGTAAAAGATGTCTTCTGGAGCAATGAAAATGTTACAGGTTATCATGAGGGCGTATGGAGTGAAGGTCTGTGTAGGGGACCATCAGGGCATAGGGGAGAAGGGAAATAGGGGACAATATAGAAGTGGTCTTGGCCAGGTGGGGATAAAGGTCCAAAATGGAGGTGATTGGTTGGCCTTCAGGTAAGAGACTGGAAATGTGGGAGTGGACAGAAATCTGGTTAAAGTGGAAACAAAGGACCCATCTGGGATTGGTTACTTAGAGTGGGAGCAGTCACCTTGGGGTGAAGCTGACTGAATTATGGGGTTAAAGAGCCAGGTTGAGACTCTGGCTAGAATATGGAATCATGTAGGTAAGAGTGTGATTTACAAGTTGATGCCTGTAATAATACTAGAAAACAATAGAGGGTGCTAGAGAGCTGCTTCTGCTAGAAGCACTTCTGTAGGTCTGACTTTTAATACAAATAATTTTTTTGCTGGTTTTCACCAGCATTGGTGGAGTTCTGCTGGTTCATCCCTTGAACTTTCCTGAAATTTTGGAACTGATCATATTCAGCTTCTTAAAGTTTTTGTATTACATATAGATTTAAGCTGATCAAAGAATTTTGATAGAATGGTGTTCTATCACAGATCAATCAAGGTATTTAATAATGGCATCTTAATGTTAACAGTAGTTTATAGGACAGAGGTTTGTTTTGAAAATGTAATTTTGATTAGTTTAATGTTTATTAGTTTTGATTTATATAGAATATTTTATTTAATGCATATACATTCATCTACTATGACATACTAGTTTTATATAGTGCAAAAATGTATACATGCATACATATCAGTTCCTTGTTCACTGCTGAAAGTCAAATGTGGATATTTTCAACACTGACAGTAGTGCCCATTATAAGTTATATTTCTTGCTTTCTAAGGAAACAAATACCCATTTTGTCAATATGTTTCTGCATTACTGACAAATATTGTGTGTACATTTTAATTTCATATAAAATCAAAGCAACAAGAATTGGAAGACAGCTATCAAAGCAGAACATGGTGTCTGAAATTCAAATTTTTATTGTCATTTTGCAGGAGTGGTTTAATTGTCATTTGCAGGAATTTTTAAATTTTGGCTTTTGTTCAGCCAATAAATTATAGTAATATTAACAATGACATCTAAGAGAAAATAATTTTCTGTCCTCAAATCAGTGCCACACAGCAGTTTTTCTAATATGAATGTCTAACCAACATTTCTAAAAATTATTTTCCATAGGACTCTGGGGGTATGAAAACTGTACTGTATCTCTTCCTTGTATTTGTAAGCGTAAAACTATATGGAAAATAGAAAGAGAAATTCCAAAAGATCAGAACCAGCAAGGAACATGTCCCAAAGGTTGGATGCACTTTGGAACCAAGGTGAAATATATTTTTGTTGTTATTGAACTATATAAAAATATTACTGATCATTTAAAGATATAATTTTCCTCTTGTAAACAAGCCTTTTAGGCATACAAAGATAGGCTCTGCCCATGTAAGTGCTTATGCTTATCAATACACTTTACACAGTTTAATAATCCCATTAATTTAGAGGGAGCTTTATATTTGTTGAGCAAAAAGGAATATTTATACCCATGAAATTATTCACATGTATTTGTCTATCGGATTTGGGGTCTTAGCCTGTTCCAGACCTTCAGGCACAAAAAAGACATACACTAAGATGCCTTTTTAGAAATGTGATTTTAATACCAGACTGTATTTGATAATGCCCTGTATTTTTTTTTCTTTCACAAATTAGACCACCACATTCTTACCAATAAATTCCATTAAAGATAATAATAAACCTTATTGCATTTGCACTCTAGAGTTGCAAGGGAAATTTTTAATTATGTTTAGCTAAACCTATGCATTCCATAACATTAGCATAGACAAATGACTGGCTAGATTTCTCCAAAATATAGACTATATAGACTTCTGGGACAAATTTGGTCCTGGTCCTGATCAGTGGGCACAGCTACATGAGACACTGTCACCATAGCAATGAGCTATGGTGAGGTAGCTCATCGCTATGGCGACACAGTGTCGGCAGGCACAAACCAAGATGCCTATACTACATTGCCTAAGTGACAAGCTACATTGCCATAGCTCATTGCTATGTCAATATAGCCTCTAAAAATAACCGAGTGCCATGGGGACTGCACAGTACTGGCTCATACTGCACAGTTATTAAGTATTAGCAAGTACTGAGTGACTGTGCAATACCAATGTGCAGTCAGGGGCACATGTAGACGCACCCAGTAGTGACTGCAAATTAATTCCCAGAATGTAGAAGTGATGTGTTGCAGAGTTGAAAGTAAATGAGGGTTTGCTTTTCAGTGAATTAGTTCTATATGAATGCTTGCATCACAGTATTTGTGACTGAGCTTATTCTGATTCTCACTTGTGCTGATAGTTTTAGCAGAGATGTCTAGACACTGAAAGAGCATGTATGCCCCAATGTCCTTTCCCTCCTTAAATAATTGGTCCTCCTGCTTACAGTTTAAGCCAGTAATTCTCAACTAGGGTACCATGAGATCTTTCCTGGGGTGCTGTGGGATGCCATGCAATGTTAGCACTGTTAGGTGTGCAAACATGACACAAGATAAAATTAAAAATTTCAAATAATATATAGGATTAAAGATATTCTGCTCTATTGTGGTTTTTCTGAGTTCTTGCAACAGAAAAATTGCTGTGTCATTTTTCCGTAGTTTAAAATAAAAAAAATAGAGTGAAAGCTAAGAGCTGGCATTTTCCAGGCAATGGCTTGAGTCTAATATGGGGTGCCTCAAATCTAAAATGGTTGAGAACCACAGGCTTAGATAGGCAGTGGCCTGCTAGTGTTTCTTGTACTTATCATGTTCTTCTGATTACTAATAGAATATGTAGGGTTGTTGGTATGGTATTTCTAATGATCACCAAACTCATCTAAAATGTGAAAAATAAATATTTTCTATTTTTGGGGAATAGTGTTTTTTAATACAAATTCCAAAGGATCCAAGTCAGCTCAGAAGCTGGTATTCTGCCCAAGAATTCTGCAGTAAATCTGATGGCTCACTCGCTTCTATTGAAAATGAAATGGAACAAGGTACACTTTTGAAACTACTATAAAAACATCCAGTGTGAGATTGTATTTATTTGTGTTAAGATATAAAGTATAATCAGGAATAAGGAATATGTATATTCCTAGCCTTGCCTCTGCCACTCTCTCTGTGACTTTAAGAAATAAAAATGTAGGATTTTCTCAAATTTCCACAACCGTAACATGAAAATATTTCCTTGCCCACCACAAGATGTCTTTTGCAAATTAGATGTTTCAACAGCACTTCTTGCCAATATGCTGAAGTGATGAATAAATGAAAGTGTGAAAGATAGACGGATACATAATTAAAGTTTGGTTATAAAATTCTCACATTATGACTATAACATAATATCCCAACACCCATCTTATTAAAAATAATGGTGATAGATGGAAAAATACTATCATGGATACATACATGTAGTATTTCACATCTGATGTACATTATACTGGTTGCCTTTTCTTTGACTCCAGTGTGGACTGATCAGCAGAGGTGTAACTACGTTTTGCACCCTGGCCCAATGTTTCCCAAAGCCGGCATATTTACACCCCACTGTGGTAAAGTTGTGCACTTTTGCATCCCCCATTATACCTGTCATTGCTGCTGCTCCTACCACTGAGGTGCCTGTACTGCCATTTCCCCTCACCAACAACAATGGGCAGCAAGGAGTTTGGTGGCAAGAGAAATGGCAGTAGGGGTCTGCCCATCTCTGGCTACGACTGCTGCTACAGCAGCAATACAGTGTCTCTGCACCCAGCTGCTACTGCTGCCACCACCCTGGCACATATTCCCAAGGGGGGCCCCCATTTTGTGTAATATTTTAGTAGGTAGCTGGGGCTGATGCCTCACTCGCCTACCCCTAGTTATAATGCTCCTGATCAGTATATCACACTCCTATGTTTATAGCATGCTTGGTATATTCTGTTCATTCAAGTCCTGGAAATGTATTGTGTTTGTAGAGTTGCTTTGTTAGTCTAAAATCTAGCCTCCCAACTTTGCCTTAAGTAGTTTGTAACCGCTCCTTACACCACACCCAGGCCTTGCAGATATTATCAGATAATGGCCTTGATGGACACTTGGCCCCAATCTGATACCAGGCCACCTCAGGCCTTTACACCCTTGTTGGGACCCTATCTCCATCCCTCTTGTGCACTGAACTCCTCCTGGCCTCAGATCTGCCTCCCCGGGCACTGGGCCTCCTGGCCCTTATCCAAGCTAGGCTTCAGCCTTTCTTTCTCTCTCTCCAGACTTGGATCTTCCTCCTCCAGTCAGAGCCCTGAATCAAGGCCCCTAGCAGGGCTCTGAACACTGGCTCTCCAGTATGAGCTAAACCCCCAGGCACACCTCAGGCACACTGCCATGGCCTCCACTCACTCCCTTTTCAGCTCCTCCCAAACCACTGGTTAAAACTGTAACCCAGGAGTAAGCCTTCTTACAAACACAGCTAAACCACCCCTGGGTCCAAACATAAACAGTGGCTTCCTGCCTGCTTAACAAGGCTTCCTCTTACCCAGGCACCAGCATTCTGTTTGCCTTCTTCAAGCCAGCTCCAGTGCCAACAAGCAGAGCTCCTGTATTCCCCTTACTCTGAAGCTCTTGGCTCAGCAGCCTCCAGGGCCAGATTGCCCCTCCTGGCACAGGGCCTGTATCTGCATACCACCCTGGCCCTGCCTCCTGCTTGTCACATGCCTCCCTAAGGTGCTGCAGGTGTTTCCTGATTCAGCCTGCTGGCTCAGCCTCAGGGGGACTTAATGCTGTGGACTCTGCTGTGCTCCTATGCAAGGCTCTAGTCCATGCTGCTACCACAACACAGCTACAGTAGTTTGGTGGTAAGTGCTTACATCAGGCAGCTCCCCCCAGTACCTGGCAGCCCATAATAGGCAGCTTTCCCCACCTGAGGCTTTATCTCTTGCTCCTTTACCCTTCAAGTAACAGGAACCTTTGGCTCTGTTACACAGTGTAATTTTTAACTACAGTGGAGAAATACATTTTCTATGACACATGTTAGTGATCAAAAAACCCCCCAAAATGTTCCAAATCCTGTGATAATCTCTCCAAGACTTGCTAGATAATGGGCTTGAACATAACTCAGTGAAATCAGTCAATAACGTTGAACTTAAGAGTACATAGAAATTAAAAGCAATTAATGCCATTACTTTTAAATGGGAAAAATAATTATAAAATGGTACTGATTAGTAATCAAGATTTTCCTTTATTTTAATGACAGAACTATGACCACAAAGAGATTTCATATTCATCCAAATGGTATTCAGTAAATTGTTTAATATTTTATTCCTGTCTCCTTTTCCAGCTTTTATAACAATGAATCTGTTTGGACATAAGACTAATGTTTGGATAGGTCTGCAAGGTGATGATTATACAAAAATGGTGACTAAAAAATCTGAAGCGTACTCCAATTGGTCTCCAGTTGAAGTAATACATGTAAGTCTCAACATGGGTTTTGTGGACATGAGTAGTTGTTTATCTGTAAATAGAAATCACAATTTCCAAAACAATAGGGTCTCAGCCTACTCTCATTTTGTTCTCGTTATTGTTAACTGTAGGAATAGTTTCACCAACAAAAGTAAACATGGGTAAAATGCTGCTGTGTAAGCACAGTTATGTGATTTATTACTGCTCATGTATTGCCACTTACGTCTACAAAATTTGGGGACAAAGCCAGTTTTTTAAAACTCATCTCAAAAAACACCAGGAAAACAAAAATATCAATACATTTATTGTACTGCATATTGTTTTATGCTTAGGGGAATACATATTTTGCTTTATGCTTAGGGGAATACATATTTTGTTTAGGATTTTAGTTAATCCTGGTCTTACATTTTTTCACCTAAAGTAGCCAAATTTACTATATTATTTCAATTTTTAATTATTCTGGTATATATTGGAGTATTATTGCTCTGCCTAATGCATGTTCTTTTTCAACGAATGTCAACTAGTTAATATTCTGCATCCCTTCTCTAGTAAAGATTTTATTTTAATGTTGTTATAATTGAACAGTTTTTGTATAATTAAGTCATATCTTTTACAGGGCCATAATTTTAAGATATCTAATATCCAAGAAGATGAATTGTGTACTTTGGTATCAAATAACCCTAATTTTTATTTCACGGGAAAATGGTACTTAGACAGTTGTGAGAAAACTAATGGTTTTATCTGTCAGAAGCCTCAAGGTAAGAATTTGTTCCTGTTTCATTCTCCTCTTGCCCTTTCCTTTTTAATTAGCAACCTCACGTTGTGCAATGTTGTATAGAGTTGTATAAATCACAGAATGTGAATTACCTCTTATATAGTTTTACTTCAGCAGTCTAAAATCTAAAAAATATTGGCACTATATCAGGCAAATCGGCACAAGAACAATACCAAAAATACCTGCAGTTGTATAAATTAATTCTTCTTCCTTGTTTCTGGTCATACAGCCATTGAATCAGAGAGAGCAAAGTGTGGCTTATAACTTGGAGTAGCAGAATGAAATTAGAAATGACAGAATTTAGGCTAACCATGCCTAAGATCTTCTGAAAATGATATTGAGCATATGAGACTTTTAAACCTGGGTAAGATTTACACCAGGAAAAGTATTCTAGAGGTGAGAATCTAGAGAGAGAGACTGGACAATCTAAATAATTCATTCGTCTTTCTCGCTTTTATGATTTTGTTACCATCATGCTTGTTGGCCATAAAGCAGAAAGATATCATCATATTTACTTGCATACACATGTACCTTTACCCAAAAAAATCAGCCTTTCAAAATTGGTGTGTGGGTGTTAAAGCAGGGAAGCTGATTTTCTGTGAGCAACAGATGCATAAAGAGCTATAATTAATACTAGATTGTCCTTCTCTCCCAGCCGAAGAGGGAGGGACAAAGTGCATGTCACAGTTAATTTTAACCTGTTCATAGCTGCTACTAAATTAACAGTAGCCTATGACCCCTAATGTCCCTGCCTTAGAACTTGTACCAGTGAGCTCATCCTTGACTTGTGAGAGACAGTATAATTTCCTCCTCTTGAGAGGATAAGCCTCATGGTTTTATATGTATGTTACATGAATGCAAAATGTCCTTTTTACATGTGTGATTCAAAACCATATAGCAATTTTATGAACATAGTTATCAGATAATAAACTTTGGAATTTTAACCACTTCTGAGTCAAATAAGAGACCAGGAAGGACTCTTATACAAGGAGTGAGTAATGAGACCATCCCACTTTAAAGGGTGGTGAATGCTGTGAATGACATTAATAGTAGCATTGAAGGAGCCACTCCAGGTTGGGTTAGCATTATAAATCCAAATCTTACACTCAAGTCCAGATGGTTAGTGGCCAAAGATAAGATTGTGATACTTCATTTTACATCCTTTTAGGGACATGTAAAAATCACCATTGGGTTCCTGCAAAGACTGCTCAGGCCTCAATCTAAACTCTACACATGTTGCACTTCTAGAGCAAGTGAAAAAGGCTGTACACATTACACAGACAGTGCAATTAAATCATTACAAGTTTGTTGCTTTTACAGGCTAGCAGCAAATTACTAGTCCCAGATTAAGCAAAATACAGGAAATTGTGCTTCCATGTGATGTTTCTGAAGTTTTCATAGATTCATAGATTCATAGATTAAGGGTCGGAAGGGACCTAGTAGATCTTCTAGCCCGACCCCCCGCCAGGGCGGGAGAACAACAAAAACCCCAAAAAGAGAAATGGGACTCAAACGAGTCCAGCTAGGTGGGCATCCAGCCTCTTCTTAAAGACCCCCAGGGTAGGGGCCAGCACCACTTCCCTTGGAAGTTGGTTCCAGCTCCTAGCCGCCCTAACGGTGAAGTAGTTTTTGCGGATGTTCAATCTATACCTCCTCTCCAACAGCTTGTGCCCATTTCTCCTTGTTATGCCAGCGGGCGCTAGGGGAAACAGCGTCTCCCCCAAACCCCTCTGGTCCCCCCTAGTGAGTCTATAGACAGTCACCAGGTCCCCCCTTAGCCTTCTCTTGTGGAGGCTGAATAGGTTCAGGTCCCGCAGTCTCTCACTGTAGAGTCTGCCCTGTTGTCCCTGGATCATGCGGGTGGCCCTCCTCTGGACCCTCTCCATATTGTCCACATCCCTCTTGAACTGGGGCGCACAGAACTGGACACAATACTCCAGCTGTGGCCTGACCAGTGTCGCATAGAGGGGGAGGATCACCTCTTTGGCTCTACTCGAGATGCACCTGTGGATGCACGACAAGGTCCGGTTAGCCTTGCCAACCATGACCTCGCATTGTCGGCCCATGTTCATCTTGGAGTCAATAATGACTCCAAGATCCCTTTCTGCCTCCGTGCTCTCGAGTAAGGAGTTCCCCATTGTATAAGTGTGCTGCTGGTTCCTACTGCCCAAGTGCAGCACCCTGCACTTGTCCGTGTTAAAACGCATCCTGTTCCTGTTAGCCCACCCCTGTAACCTATCCAGATCCCTCTGCAATCTCTCGCTCCCTGCTAGCGTGCTCACCTCCCCCCAGATTTTGGTGTCATCAGCGAATTTAAACAGGTTACTTTCCACCCCTTCATCCAGATCGCTGATGAAGAAATTGAACAGCGCAGGCCCCAGGACCGAGCCCTGGGGGACTCCGCTACCCACCTCGCCCCAGGTCGAATATGACCCATCCACCACCACCCTCTGAGTGCGACCCCTCAGCCAATCTGCAGTCCATCTGACTGTGGAGGCATCGATGCCTCCACTTCACTAAGTGAAGTACTTAGTACCTACTCTGTGGCTCAGCTAACATACCTCTCTTGTTCAAGGCTATGTCTAAAGTAACCTCATTGTAAGCTAAATAAATGAATGAGTTTGAGTAGAGACATATGTTCCAAATGAATTAATAATGGGTACTGCACACATTCAGGGACTCATGAGGCTTTTCTAGCAGGGAACACTTCTAGCAGGTATTTTGTTATGAAGCAAAGCCATAGGCATTGCTGAAATAATACTGCTTGTGGAACAGAAAACAAAAAAAGCAATAGATTTGGTTTCCTACCAAATATTTATATTTTGATTCTTTGATTACAACACTGCCTTTTTAACTGGTTCACACAAGGTGCGTCTTCATGTGCTATTAATATGAAGCAATAAATTCTGGCACATATTATGCCAAAGTTTATTGCTCATGACTGCACTGTTTGAAGGTGTGCCCAGGATCACAGCACAGTAAGCCAGGCTGGAGCAGCCCTGGTTACCAGGGGATCTTGGGGGTCAGCCTGCCAGCCCAGAGCTGCTCCCACCCAGGTCAGCTTGCTGCAGAGGGACTGGCTAGGGCATGAGGGTGCTCCAGTGCAGGGCTCCAGTGCAAGGTACACAATGTAGCACCCTCATGCCCCAGCCAGCTGGGTCAGTGTCTATATGTGGTACATAAGAAACCCCACAGCAGGATAGTACTTATAGAGCGCGTATACACAAGATGCATTAATAGTCATTAGCCTAATTTAATGCATAATATGGGCATGCATCTACATGTGTAGGTCAGTGTTATAAATCCTTAATGTGCATTAAAATAGCAAAATTAGGCTAATCATGCCTAAATTTGATACCTGCAAATGCTAATGTGGAGCTAATTAGTTTACTGTGGAACTAATTAGTCTACTTTGCAGTAAATATCTCAGGAAGATATGCCCACAGGTTGCAAAGTCTTTGCCAAAAGCCCCACAAGTGAAAATAAGTTGCATTGCAGATGAGATGTCATATTAATATGGACTGCCTAGAGTTTCCCAGTGGTTGTTATCCAGGAGACTCATTGAAGGGTCCATTCGTTGTCTACTTCTTCCACTAACAAAAGCTTGTTCAGGTTTTTCCGGTCAGAAAAACAAGGATGCTGCCTATTTTCCCTAGCCAAAATCTGAAACTGCAATCCCTTGGCACTGCTGCCTGAGGCCTGGATTTCCTCCGTGTGCTTCCAAACTTGTACATCTGTGCTTCTCTATACAGTAACACTGTCCATAACTTGCTGATAAATTTCATGTGGGAGGCTGAAATGAACAGGTCAGCAGTGGGCCTTAGCCATGTTTTAAATGTCCCTGTTGGTGCTGCTGAAGCTAGGATTATGTCAGCATTTCAATATTAAGATCCATTGTCACTGCTTTTTTTGTTCTAACACGACTGTGCATGGGTCTGGAAATTAATACATAAAAGCTCAAGTCAGCTGAGGGGTAAAGATTTCTTTATCCAAATATTCAAGATATCTAGAAATGACTAAGTGGAAAATAAGCCATGAATTATAAAAAAATGCATTATTATTTTAAAACCCGTTTTAGTCTGTGTACTCTGAATCCATAAATAGCTTTGACTTAATACAGTAAATATGTTTTAGCAAAGCACTTGTTTCATTTTAGTGTTAGTGTTTAGAGAAACAAATTACTAATACAGACTGACGGGCTATTTTTGGACATACCATATCACACCAGTTCACCAGGAACCTGGCTTTCAAACAGCCAGTTCAGGGGGAGCCCAGGATCATGATGACACATAGAAGTGGCATAACTGGGATCTAATCTCTGATCCTAAACCCATGCATTCTGACCATGCAAGTGTGGCATGGCATGCGATTGTTGTCTCCCCCTGGACATACCATATCAAAATTCCATATACATTAGTGGAACTACCTAATTGCTGTCTCCTATGGTTAATGAACATAGCAACACCATAGAAGGCGTGTCTATACAATCTCCATAGAGAAAATGAGACTACTGCCAAGAAACAAGCCTCTAATTTGCTTCTGCTCCATCTGTGGCACTTGCCAAAAAACATTATTTAGTCCCTTTTTGGTATTTACTTATGAATGCTCTTGGAATCTCAGTCTCAGGTACACATGAGAGAAGTGGTGGGCAGAGATCATTTTTGATTCAACTTAACAGCCATAGGCCCCTGGCACACATTCATTTAATGGTGTAATGATTCTCTTCCCCTATTCCAACAATCGCACCTCCTGCCATGCCACACTTGCATGGTCAGAATGCATGGGTTTAGGATCAGAGATTAGATCCCAGTTATGCCACTTCTATGTGTCATCATGATCCTGGGCTCCCCCTGAACTGGCTGATTGAAAGCCAGGTTCCTGGTGAACTGGTGTGGTCTCGTGGCTGGGACTGACAATCATCTGATGGTTGGTTCCAGCCCCAGGACCTCGCTGAAGTCCCCAGATGGTTCCAGTGTAGTCCCATGTCTGGGATGCACAAGCAGCTTATTGTCAGTCTCAGCCCTGGGGTTGCACGGGAGCCAATTCAGGACTCCTTTGGGGTCCCACGGCCAGAACTGGCAACCAGCTGATTGTTGGTCTCAACCTTGGGACCACACCAGAGCCATCTGGAGACTCTGCTGCAGTTCCAGGGCTGAGGAAGCTGTCAACCAAGCCCCTCTATGCAACAGCATCAGGGGGACCCTTCTCCAAATTCACTTTAAAATGCAATGGAAGACAGCCATAGTATTTTTACATGTGTGAAACAATTCTGTGTCTGGTTTCACATTTTGTGGCACCATTAGTTGCCTGAACTTGTGACCAGGTTACTATTTAAGATGTGACTAAACTGTTAATCACATCTTAAGTGTGACAGCTGCTAGGGGCCATAGAGACTTAAGTCTTCACCCACAGAAGAATTTCAGTGTTAGGAGTGCCATGTAAGCTTCCCTGCTACACTGCCTGTCAATGTCAAGTCCCTACAGTTAAAATATGACACTCAGAACATAAAATTTACATAACATCACTAAGCTCATGGCACCGTATATAGAACTGTGTATACGGCACATTACAGCTACCTACAGAAGGACTGAGGTTCAGTGGTTGTAGAAGTTTGGAACACGCTGAGGTCCTGTTTGAATTCTTGCCAACCTCTATAGATTGAGTCAGTGGAAAATCTTCAGTATGTTCCTCTCTGTAGAGCAGCAGTGCTCAACCATTTTGGCCAGTGGGCCAGATTGGTTTGTGGGCCATATCTAGCTGGTGGTCCCGATCCAGTGCCCAGGACAGGTTGTAGCAGGGCCCCATCCAGCCATGAGGGGCCCAGCCTTGATCCACTTGCAAGGGGTAGGGAGCATGGCCCAGCTGTGGAGTGAAGGAGGTGTAGTCAAGCCCCAATCCAGCTGTGGTGGGGGAGAGGGTGTAACCTGGCTCCAACCTACCACATGTGGCTTGGGGTTTGGGAATTTGGCAGGGGGCAAGGTGGCAGTGCCACTGCTCCCCTGCAGCCAAATTTCCCAACCTGTGAGGAGCCTCACAGGTCAGACACCATGGTCCTGCAGGCTGCATTTGACCTGTAGGCCACAATTTGAGCATCCCTGCTGTAAAGTAATAAATCCATTTATTTTGTATATCTTTTCAGCCCCTAACCTTATCAGAATTTCAAACTGAGTACCTCTTGCTGTAGTGTTTCTTTTTTTTAAATGTTTGTTACAATGGTGTGATAACCTCTAGACACCATGATACCAGCAGGCTTTGAATGTCTATATTGTTTTCACAGGAAACTTCTCAGCTTTGAGAACTGGTAAGTTATTTAACTGTTGTCTGCTAAAGGAAAATATCTGATGGTGTTTTGTTCTACCTAACACAGATAAATCCAGACGTTCTATAAATGGATCTGAGATGTATCCAGTACCTGGCACTTTAGAATATGGAAACAAAACATACATACTAATATATGAGAATTTGACTTGGTATGATGCTTTAAAATCTTGCACGGCAAAAGGAGCTGAATTGGTCAGCATTACAGATCATTATCACCAAGCCTTCCTCAGTGTCGTTATAAACCGACTAGGTTATCCCCACTGGATTGGACTATTTACCTCAGATGTAAGTATGAATTCTTTGCATATGGATATGAGACTGTACATGAGTTTTTGACATTTACTAGTAAAACTTATTAAACTGTGACAAAAAAAATGCTTAGCATTTGTTTGACATGATTGAATTTGTAAACAAAGATGAGCTTATATGAACAATCCAATCTAAATATCCCTATGCTTTGGGAAAGTTTGGATCTAAAATGGAATTCCACTATTCAGCTTAGGCTCATCTCTTTGCAACACAGCATACAAGTTTCATTAAAGTCAGTTGCTGGAAGCCTGGTATCAGCACTGCCTGATGGGATGCTGCAATCATACTGCAGGTCAAACACTGACAGGACGGAAAAGAGAGCTAAAAAACGCTCAGAGAAAAAAGCTTTTTTGTGGCGAGTGGCTTCAGCTTCATTCTTTAATACAGGGGTACCCCACCCCCTACCTGCAGGCCAAATCCACCCCTCAGTGCCACATCATTCAGCCTGTGGGGCTCCCCATGAGTCTGAAAATTTGGCAGATGGCACAGGGGAGCATCACAGGGCCCTATCTGGCATGTGGTGCTGGCTAGAGGCAGCTAGGGGCCTGATCTTGGTGCACAGAGCCTGATCTGGCTCATGGACCAGTCCCACCCCACTCATCTGGACAACAAAGCCAGAAGATGGAGTACCCCTGCTTTAGCACTTTTATGTGGTGCATAATTTTATTTGGAGTAACGGCTCAATTGATAAGTTAGGATTTCTGATGAGTACATAGCAGGGAACTTTTGGTAACTTTGGCTAGGACCCTGGCTTGGAGGAGGAAAATCAGAGGTAGCAAACCTTGGGAAAATAAAAGATCTCTTATGTAACAGGACCACACAGAGAAATAATCCTATTTTTTTTCTGCAGAGTGGACTTAACTTTAAATGGTCAGATGGTACTAAGTCTTTGTTTTCCTTCTGGCGAGAGGAGGAGTCCCAGTCTTTTGGCAGCTGTGTTTTTGTTGATATTAATGGGCACTGGGAAAGTGCTAACTGTGAAAGACGTCTACAAGGAGCTATTTGTCATGTGCCAAATAGTAAGTCAATATTATGTTTTATATCAAATTGTTGTAGCTACAAATTTACATTTACACATTGGAAGTATTTGAAATGAAGTTGTCTGGCTTAGGTTTGACTGGTAATTATATAATAAATTAATTAATATACACCTAGAGATATCTATTAAACTTTTCCTTTATTGCATCACCCCTATCTGAAATATTTTAAAATAATAAAATACTGGCTCTTTGGATTCAGGGGAGAGTGAAAAGAGTACATCTCTGCCAGGAATTAAAGAGGCTTGCTTGTTAGATTTCTTGGATTGAGCATGAAGTATAATATATTTTACAAAGACTCTAGAGAGGATGACTTAACAACTTTAGTCATCCATTTGAAATGACTAGACCCCTGCCTAGGTTTCTGGGAAGCAAACTACAGGTTCAAATTTGTATATGGATAACCTTCATCTGAAGTAAATACGTTGAGTTCTCTGTAGTTTGCTGTGTGCTTTTGAGCAAAAATGAAAAGTTAAAGTCCCCAAGTTGTTTGGTCAGAAAAAGAACACAGCTTTTTTTTAATGAGAAAGAAAGCATTTGCTTCTCTTCCCCCAAAATTATGTGTTGTCCCTAAAGGTGGTATGATGCACCTAAACCTCACATAAATCCAGAATGTAGGATTTAAATGGTATACAGGGCCTTCTGCAATCACTCTGAACTGAGGTAAACTTTAGTCCTGCAAATAGTTACTGCTAGGTTTAATTCTGATTTATGAGCAGGGGTCTCATTTCTTCAGTGAAACTATTTGATACTTTTTCTGCAGTATGAGGCCTGGAAATCATAAATGTATCTAGATTTAGGGAAAACTGCTTTGGAATCCTTCAACACAAAAAGTATTTATTAAAGGGATTTTTTGTAATAGACGTTCCAGTTTTCTAATTGTTTATTCAGTTATAAAAATATATCTGGTATGTGGCTGGGAGCCCAGATCAGCTGACAGGGCTCCCAGCCATGGGAGCTTGCTACTTGCCAGTACAGGGGGAGCCCAGGATCATGATCCTGAGCTCTCCCTGCACTGGCAGTAAGGCGCAATGGGATTTGATGTTTGTTCCCACAGTCATGCCTCCTACTATGCATGTGTAGCATGGCAGGAAGCATGACTGTGGGGACAGTACACCAGATCCTATCGTGCCTTTACTTACATTTCTGCCAGGGGCCTATGTTGAGATCTATGGTCCATTAAAAAAATAAATACTGATCCCTTTGCTCACTTTTGGACAAGAGAGGCCTGCTCAGGTTTAAAATAAAGGGCAATTGGATCAGTGTCCTAAGCACTGTGTCCCTTGTGGATAGGGTTCTAAGGCTTTCTCCCCTTCTGAGTCCTTCTTCACAAAGTTAACACAATACTAACCAAGTTAAATTGGCTTGTGTGTCCACACTTCCTTGCATGGCTTAGTTCAATTTAGCTTACTCCCAGAAAATAAATAAATAGTTAAACAATAGTTGTAAACTGAGGATTTATACAACTCTTTTAGAATTCTATTTAGTGAATCAAGGGTTTGGATTATACAGTGTATAACAGTGAAATATTTACTTGCTTACATGCATGTCAATGTTATGAAATTATTAGTAGTGTTATTCAGAAATGATTTGGTGGATATTTAACAATAGAATTAATAAACACTATTTAATCTACACTATTTTTGTTTTATAGAAAAGAAAATAATTGAACACAAAGGCCTTTGTTCAGAAAAAACTGTCCCCTGGTTAAAATTTAAAAACAATTGCTATAGCTTTTCCACGGTTTTCAAGAGTACAAGTTTTGATACAGCTTATGAATCCTGTAAAAAGCAAGGTAATTTGTAATTTGTTTTTCTCTAACTATACAATTTAACATAATCTTCTTCCTAAATGGCAAGAGTGGATTATCTGAGATGAAGTAATAAGAGATGCCCTTTCCATGTTATTTTTAAAAATATTGTCATATTCCATTGTTTTTTCTTCAAATTGTAATAAAAATCATGTGATTTCAGGTATAAAGCAGAAAAAGGATTTCAGATTTACATGTTATTGTGAATTTAAAAGTCATTTACTATAACTATACTTACAAATCGTTGGCAGTCCCTCACAGTCGAGAATGATTGTCTTGCATCTTTGTCTTATCTGGGCATCCAATGATGGCTGCTAGGCGTATCTGGGATCTACAGACTCTACTGTAGCTCAGACATGTGTTTCCATATGGGGTGGGTGGCACTGGATTCTTGATTTGATCTGCAACGCACTGTTTCTGCCACTCCTGCATCACAGATGTAAACAGATAATATTAAAGTTTTGTAGTTCAGTATGAAATATATGCAGTATTTCTTATCTTTTGCAGTAAAACTACAAAAAGGAAAAATGTTGCTTCCATATAGTGTGCAAAAGCAAAACAAATATCTTGTATAAAAATATGGGCTGGCATTTTGAGAGGGGCTTAAAGAAGTTAGCTGTTCCTCTTCTCCCAAATTGCAAGACATGTTAAGCAACCAATTCCCTAAGGCTCATTTGAGATAGTTTACTTGTAGGATTATGGATGCAGGAGGAGGAGGTTATTTCCCAGTCTAGCTAGGAGATTAGCATTCAAAAAATGTGCCTTGTGTTCTGAAAATGGTCACGAGTGAAGGAACTTGATGTGTGTTTCATCTACAGGATCAAACCTTTTAACTATTAAAGATGAAGAAGAAAATGCCTTTCTTCTAGAGGAACTGCACACTTACGGTTCTTCTGTCCAAATGATTTGGTTAAACATTCTCTTTGTAAAAGACAGTAAGTGACTGGGAAAGAAAATGGCATATATTAATATAGAAATGTAATTATGTTTCTTAGTTTAGCGCTGATAACTGCTGAGCAGAGCATTCTTAGTATTGTAAACAATGTCAATTTAAGATGAGGCATATATAACTACATTGCTTTATAGCTGTAACTTTTAAATATACAATGATTATGCATGCTTATACATACATATTTTTTAAATTTTTTTCTTAAGAAGCAATCAAAGTATCCAGTGTAAGGGAAAATCTAATATATGCTTTTAAATATCCTTTCTGTAGTGTTGGAGTGATGTTGTAGCTGTGATGGTCCAAGAAATATGCGAGAGGCAAGAATTTCTGTGGGTGATATCTTTTATTAGACCAACTACATAATTTGGATAGGCAATACCAATCTCATAAGGCACTCTGGATGCTAGGTTTGAATACTAAGTGACAATTAGATGTAGGAGAGCTTTATCTGTGGATGTTATTGCCATAATCTTAATCTGTTTATGGAGTCAAAAGCTCCCTTGAGATCTACGAAGGCCACATGCAAATAATTTTGTCTTTTAACATATTTAGATTAATAAAATGAAATAGTACAACAGCACCATGCAGTTCTCCATGCGGGGATAACCTGCTCTAAAACCCGTCTGCTCTTCTCCCCATTTATTTTCAGAGATCCATGTCTGAAGATGAAAAAGTAAATGTCTCTCAAGTATTTTGGCAGGAATATACATAAGACTAATGGAGCGAAAAGAAGTAGGGCTTGAAGGTACCTCCAGGGGTCATTTAGTTCAACCCCTTGCCTTAGGCAGGATCATCCCTATCCAAACCAAAATCAAAAGCTTGTCAAAATCTATCTAGATCAAAATTCTATCCCAGCCATGCAGTTGGTCCAGTAAAAGATATCAATCACAAAAATCCTGCCCTTCCTTTTTGAGTTAGAATGTAAACTCTTGGTCTAATAGACACAACTGTTGAAGTTCCTTAAGTAAAAATATATTTTACAGGCACGAGTCTTACTGAACTTAAATTCTTGTTTCAAAATCAGTGCATTTTTAGATTACATAGAGCTAACAGTGATTGATTGTTTTTGCCCTTAGATGACACGGTTGAATGGTTTGATGGTTCTCCCCTAAATTATTCAAACTGGGGCATCAGGGAGCCTGAACTGAGTCATCTCAAAGGGAATTTTTGCATTGCTTTGAGGACCAGAGATGGAGTATGGCAGTTATCTTCCTGCAAAGAGAATAAGGGATTTGTATGTAAAATGGATACAGGTATGTGTTTATTTAGAAGAAATCCTTATACCATTTTAATATGCACCTTCTTTACTCTTTACTTCACTTAGCCTTCATTTCAACAGTGTTCAGTTAATGGCCTTGCACCCTCAGTGCCATTGTAAGTTTCCTCATATTTTTCCAGTCCTGTTCAGAAACAGGCTCAGCACCATGAAGCCTGTAGCCAGAAGCCTCCTTGATCTTTGGCACCTATAAATAAAAAGGGTATTTATTTATTTTTAAGCTGATTTTCTGTTCCCTTTTATTAGTCAAGAGAACTTTAAAAAAATAAAGAAATGAAGCAGCCCACAATAGAAGTTTCAGTTATATTACTCTATTTTTTCCTAAAGATTTTGGATTACTTTGCAGAAGACCAAATGCTAATCAAGATTTGCCTATCAGAATCCACAAAATCTTTAATCCTGGTCATGTTATTTTGAGCAGCCTATTTGGTCCCTTACTCCAAGGATATCTGGCTCAACAGCATGAGAGAGGACCTGGTATGATGGCCTAAGCAGAACATGTTCTGAGTTTATCCCTGAATCTCATCCTGATGATAGTCAAATCACGTAACCTTTTTGGCTTCATCTTCCCATTAGAAAATATGCATATATAATACTTTCCAGAGATGCACTGCCATTTAGCTTGTAAAATGCTACTCTGTAAGTATTAAAATTCACCAGAGCTTGCACACAACCTTCCAACAGCTTGCTTGAAGAATTATGCTTTGAAACACTTTATAATGTTTAACACTTTGCATAGATTCTGCTTTTCACTTTTACAGTAAGAGACTTCCTTTCCCCTTTTTAAATTGAATGAATAGATGCAACCTAAGTGATTTCTCAGTGAACCTTTCCCCGTATCACTTTAGATGTCATGCATAACATTACTATATGATCATGAGGAGCTGCAGTTTGTACTGAAAATACTGAAGAACTGAAAAAAATATTTTATAGACCTTCCAAAATGCTAAAATTAGGGCCAGATACAGACATTGCACATAAACTGGTGTAAGTGCCTGAAAACTGGTCTAAACCCATAACAGTACAGAAGTTCAGTACACGTAGAACAGTTTAAAAATGGCAGAACCAAGTCTAAGATAGACCTGGATGGAAATAGTATCAGACTTTTAAGTAATGTAGCTTAGACAGGTCTATTGAACTTATGTATCAGATCCCCTCCTAACTCAAGTTAGGTTGTAGTCCACTAACATCGCAGGCACCATTGCGGTCCTCGTCTTCCTCCCCCCACAGAGTTCCACTGGAACTCGGCTGCATTTGGCTGCTCCTAGCTGTCAGCCACAGGTGGGGAAGGGGGCAAGGGGAAGGAGCACCTGTAGCTCAGGAGGTTTCTATCTTTATGCAGTGTCCCTAGTTGGGGAGGTGTGTTCTGCAGAAAGAAGGATTGGGCCCTTCAGAGCTCTGGCAAACTGCAAGTGGTGCCAGCAGTCACCCGGTGTAATTGCAGAATTCAGTTGAGGCTGAGGGAAGGGCTCCTGTACTGCTCCCTGGGGCTGTGTCAGCTCATGCAGGACTGGAGCCAGGCACAGGCAGGAGGTGTGGTTCTGGCTGTTGGCAAGAGGGGGCCCAGGCTTGGCCTGAGCCAGGACAGCTGGAGGGGAGGGGTATAGGGGGGTCTTCCCCCACCCTACTGCTCGGCCCAGCTGGCCAGCACAGCTCCTCTCCCCAGCCCCGCCCCCCCCCGGCTGTCAGAGGCGGTGGTGGGGCAGGGGAAGTGGAAATCCCCTGTTGCACAGACTCAGCTCCCCCGGACCCAAGCTAGCACAAGTAGGGAGGGGGTCAACATTGTGGGAGCTTCCCCTCTTCCCCACCTGGCCCTCTCCCCAGCCCTTCCACCCCATAAGGTATCCAGCTGTCAGCAGCTGATAGCTGACCATTGATGGGAGTTGGGGCTGGGGAGAAGGGCCGCACTGGCCAATCAGCTGTGGCTGGCTGCTCAGCTGGGCTTAACATTCTCAGCATGTTGCAAGGTGTACAGGAGTGCCCACAACCTGTTGGCCTTGGCCAAGGCAGGCAGCCTTTGTGCCCCCCACCCTCACCCACACACACACACCAAAAGGTAAATGTGCATTTTGTTTGTTCCCGACCTAAGGCACTTAGAGTAAGGCTTGAAACTTTAGTCTACTTCCACTTCAGGCTTTTTGAATGTCTGTACTTAGCCTCAAAGTGGCCCAAATCAGGCCTACTCAGTTCTTTTTATGCAGTTGCTCTGAGTGAACATTTCTTTTTTAAATGTGAGTAAATGTTACCTTTTTTGGCATCTCCAAGGATTAATGAGAAGATTTTTGTGGGAGAAAGGGTATATTTTATGATAATTTTTAAAGAATGTCACCCCCCTGCCAAAAAGAAAGGAAGAGAAAATGTGTCTCAACTTTAATTTCATAAAATATATTTCAAGAAAAGCTGTAAGCTCCTCTGCTAAGAGTTTTACAAAGGAAATAACTTGCCTACAAGGCAAATATATATATTAGAAATACAAAATCTATGTACAGCTACACCTTTTGTATTGATCCATGGCAGGAAGTTTTTCCCTAGTGTTTATGCATAGACTTTTTTGGCATTCCACACTGTAGTATGTCTCTCAAAAATTAAGATTTACCCACACAAATCCTCTAAGGCGGGGACTGGCAACCTTTTGCTTCTGTGAGCCACAAATCTCCACCCCTTGGAGAGCTCAGGCTACCTGACCCCTCTGCAGTTAGGTTAACTTCCAGCATGAGAGAGCAACAGGGAGGGCTATGGAGAAAGGCACAGCTGTATGCTGCCCGATGTCACATACTCAGTTAGATCTTCCAGCCCAGATCTGGCCTGTGGGCTATGGTTGCCTAAGATTTGGAAATGTTCTGTTTCCCATTTCATAGAGAGGGAATCTAAACCACTGAGGGTGTATGCAAACGAGATGCTTTACTGCTCAGTAGATCAGTTTACTGTGCAGTAAGTGCACATCTACACATGCACATGCTTATTGCACAGTAAACTGTTCTAATCGTGAGTAAATGTGCTACCTGCAAATGCAATTAGCAAATTTATTTCCGATTAGTTACTGCTCAGTAGCGCTCGTGAAGAAGCATGACCAGGAGCAAATGTAACTGCGGACCTGGTGCTGGGAGATAAGGGTCTCCCAGATGCGAATCGGAGGTTGGGAGCTCCCTGCTGGCAGGAGCTGGAGAGCCTGTTCGCCACCAAGCTCCACGATCAGAGCTGAGCAAAGAAAGTGCTCTCCAGCCTGTTCCCCACCCAGCTCCGTGATCTCAGAGCTGGGTGGGGAACAGGTGCAGATCTAGCTTCACCCAATTCTGCAGTTATGGAGCTTGGCAAGGAACAGACTTTCCAGCCCGTGCCCCACAGTCAGTGCCCTGATCGAGCAATTGAGGCATGGGGCTTGGAAAGAGCTGCAGGAGTGGGGCAGCTAGCAGCGAGCCCATGGCTGGGGATTCTCTGCCCAGTGGGGGCTTATTGCTAGGTGCCCCACCAGTGGATCGGGGTGAGGGGCTGGGCCCTTCCCCTCCCCTGCAGCTGTTTTCAAGTCCCCTGTCCCCATTTGGGGAGCCAGGGCCAGGAGCTCCCTGCTGCCAGGGCAGGGGGACATTGTCCTCGCCTGGGCTTTGGTGGCAGAGCCCAGCCCAGCAGCAGGCAGCCCTGCAGGGGTAGGGTGCAGTGTCCCAGCCCCCACCAGAAGATGGTTGTCTCCTGGCCGCATGCTCCCTGCCAGCCCCTAGCCTATCACCTAGGGGAGTCTAGAGCTCCATCTGGCTGCTACAGGGGACCAGTGTGAGGCTGGCAGGGGCAGGAGCAGATTGCTGCCATGAGCAGCAAATCTGCTCTGGAGTCCCTGCATGTGTAGATGCCTTCCCGGGCATGTTTACTCGCAAGTAAACTGCTCCCAGATCAAATGCATGTATAGACACACCCTGAGATATTAAGTAACTTGTGCAAAATCACCCGGGAATAGGATCCTGGCCCTTTAACCCTCTTCCTACTATTTGAATAGAACAGGCAAAAATTGCAAGAGATGGTCAGCCTTACCCAGTAAATTACCAATGCCACTTCCATTGAAACCCATGGCAAAGTACCAGTTATCGTAGTAAAAGCAGATCACACCCCAAGTAAACATTTCTGAATTTGAGCTTTTCACAATGTTTACCTCACATACAGTTCAATAAATTCAGGAGTTTAAAATGAGATGATCATCCACATTCATCTGTAATTGGTGTAAACTTGCTGATATCAATAAAGTTTAAACAAGGGATGGCCATTTTTGTTAGCGACAAGTATGTACTCCCCTGAGAAACAATTTTGCAATGAAGTATATACATTAGCTTTCATTAATTCTCTGAATAATATTCATACTAACTCTGGATTCTGTTTCAGATGTTGATGAAACAGAGCAAACTGTGAAACGTAAGTTGCACCATGTGATACTTTATTGTATTTAAACATGTTCTGGGCTTTGTGGTTTGTCTGTTTATTTGGTTTGGTTTGTTTCATTGTTGTAGAACTTTCCTTTTTTTTTTCCTTTCAGCATCATACCGTGGAACTGTAGCTCTCGTCGTAATAATGATACTGGTGATGGTGGCTGCTGTTCTATTTGTATTGTACAAAAAGAAAAATAGTCTCTTCAGTAGAATATTGTGGGCCAGAAATGCCTATTATTTCCAAAATATATCGGAAGGTCCTACTTTGGAAGAAAGCATCCTCATTTCTGATCTTGAGAAAAATAATGATTATTAATTGTTCCAGAAGGAACATATCAATTGAACTGAATGCTGATGATACAAAGGAGCTCTACAGTTTAGTTCATTTTATGAACTGGTTGCCACTGAGGACCAGATCACCCTCTCCATCTTTTTTGCAAGGGACAAGCTAAAGAGTGGAAAATTCCCACTTAAATTGCCAACAGCAGTCAAAAGGAGGGGAGCTGGAGCCAAAACAGCAACATGTTACCCTTTTTCTGCCCCCATGGAAGCTTCTTGTTGTGAATTCTGTGCAGAACTTCTGCAAATGGGACAAGAATGGGACAGAGGCTGTGAAACCTCAGAACATCCACTCTATGCAAATTCATCCCATCAGCATTGACTCTGGTGGGAGGGTTGTGCCTGACTGCTGGAAACCCGCTTGGATGGTGGATTTGTTTAGTCAAAGCAGGTTTTTTAAAAGGTAGACTACCCTAGTTCATAGCTCAGAAGTCATCATTCTCTGTGATGGTGCAAAAAATAAAATGTTTGCTGCCACATCTTTTTACAGATTTCAAGTATAAAGTGTTCAATACTGTCCTGATTAAAGTCAGTAGTGAATTTGCCATTAGCATCAGTGGCACAGGACCAGGCCTGGCCTGGCCTGTTCTAATTTGATTTTGACTCAATACAGCGGTGTTAAGAAAATAGTTCTAAGAATATCAGGGACTGCAGCCGCTATGGGGAAAAAAATCTAAAAAATCGTAACAACACCACAGATTACAGGACATCAGAAACTGCTGCAGGAGTCAATGCTGCATAAACCCTCTGGCTCAAAGGCAGCAAAGGTTTTTATTTCCCTGAACTTTATATTTTCAATAGTTTTTTTTTATTTCCGTTTACACAAGAAGTAGACTCTGTCCATAGTTTATATTAAATTCTTGCCCTGAATTCAGGAACCCTAAAACATTCTGATATTATAAAAGCCTAAGTCTGTCTGTCTGTCTGTCTGTCCATAATGCTTTATTCGCACTCTGATTGGCTGTCTCAGCGTGCCCTACACAGACAGAGACAGGCTGTGCCCCACTGCCACCATGAACACCACTGTGGTCATGGGCCCTGGCCCCGGCCCAAAGCAGCGGGGGGAGGCGAGGAGAGGCCCTGGCCCCAGCCCGAAGTGACAGGGGGAGGCAGGGAATGGGCCAGGTCCCAGCCCTGGCCCAAAGCGGTGGGGGGAGAGGGGAACATCCCTGGCCCAAGGTGGGGTGGGGGTAAGGGACGCAGGCCTCTGTCCCCCTCCCCCCCCCATCATTCTTGACGGGCAATTGGCTAGTAATCACATAATTGCCAGAATAGCTAGATCATTGCTAACACCGGAGTCCCCTGTATGGATTTCATACATGTGGAGAAGGGTAGCCATTCTAGATTTGCTTTGTTGTCTGGTTTGTGTAAGTATCTTTGCCAGATTCCAACCAAATCAGAAAGTACTTTGTAGTTTCAAAAATAAATTTAACAGGAAAAAGTAGAGATGTCAGAATTGACCAATTCAGTTTATTTTTCCTACCTCACTGCAATAAAATTAAAAGTTAAGATTTACAATGGTTACTTTGACATTTTAAAGATGACAGAATAACTGGAGTTGCTTGCAGTGTCCTGTTAAGGACAAAACTGTGAGGTGGCATACCATCAAAAAATGGCTACTTTCTTTGATTGCATATTTAGTCAATATCTATATGAAGAAAACTATTATAATCAGTGTTGCTAAAGCTCTAATAACAAGTTGCTTTGCTTCTCTTTTACATAAGGAATTACTTTTACACTCTTGAGACCATGTCCTCAAAAGTTAAGTAAGATATGTAGCAAATATATATTTGTGTCTCAAAGGTAATTGTTGTCTCTACCCAAATGGTAAATTAACAATTTAATAGACTGTCACGTGGAACTAAAGTTCTTCACTTCCCTTGTTCATGGTAAAGTACTAACAGAGTGGTCTTCCAATCAGAAAAAATGTATTAAAAAATGACTTGAGGCTACATGTTTTCTCACAAAATTTCATTGGGAAGATGTGCTGTAGCCTGGTGGTGCATCCCTGGTTTGGGATGCAGAATACCTGAGGTCAAGTTCCTGTTTTTCCTCAGTGAGAGTGATTTGGAATGAAAATCTGCTCTGCTTCATATAGAGCAGGGCTTGAACCTAGATCTTTACATCCCAAACCAAGACCTTACCTACCAGGAACTAGATGGAACAAAACTAAATTTTCAAACCTCGTTGATTGCCACAAAAGTAAATGGTTGTCTTTTGGTCAGCTCTAGTCATGTTAGTGTGTGTGAATGCACCAAATGAGATGCAGTCAAAGGGGGTGTCCAGACGTGCGTGGACATTTGGTTTCCCGGGGACAACTAGCAGTGGCACACCTTGCACTGCAGCAACTTGTCCCCAGGGAAGGCCTGTGCCACACGTGCTTTGGCATGCAGCAGATTGCCCTGGGTTGGGTAGGGGAGGCTGCAGCCAGCACTGGACTGGCCCCATGAGCCTTACCTGTGGTCCTGGGGGCCTCCCAAGGCTGCAGCCATAGCAATTCTGCCTCACAGAGCCTGGCTGGCAGCAGAGTGCAGCTCCAAGTGGCCTGGCTCCGCTTTTCAGCAGCACGCGCTGCCCAGCGCAGCACACATTTGGGTAGTACGCCCTTGCAGTGCAGAGAACACTGGACTGTGTGGTATGTGCCACATACCACACAACTGCGCTCGTCTGGACATGCCCAAAGTACGTCAAATACCTACCTCCACCTTTGTAAATAACTCTTCGTTTTTGAAAAATGTGAAAATCAATAAAAATGCTCGTATCGGCCCTTCTGCAAGTGCCAAAACATGAAGATGCGTGTGTGACAATCAAGCTGACAGACAAGCTCAGCTGGAACTTGCTTTATAGTATATATATGCAGAAAAGGATTACTTTGTTTTGAAATCATACTTGAATGTATCCGCGCAACCCAAATTTTTTAGCAGTTGTATTTAAAAAACATTAGAAATTGAGCACAGTTAGGTTTTGGCACTCTTACCATACACTATTTGTGCCTGTTTACAGTTTATAGCATTTACAGAGATAAAAAGATTAGTCAAAGTGGTTACGGAGAACACTGGCCCTAATTTCATTTAACTGTCACTTTCATTAGTTTCTGTGGAAGTAACTATTCCAGATACTTACCTAGATGAAATGTTAATTAAATATTTGCACATTTTATTAATCATTTTTGATTCTCTTCATTAGTCCTCAGCAGTGTTTACAAAGTTGGACCTTAGTCCAAAAAGATTTGAGTGATCAATGCTACGTTTGTGTGTAGTCCCATGTGTTGGCAGATTGGGAATTTAGAATACAGCAGTCACATCTTTACCTGGTATAAATTGCTATGGCTCCACTGAGGACAGTTTTCCAATCTGAACTGACCTTTAAAGCCTAACTCATGTAAGTAATCCTGCTGTAACCTTGTTGAAGTTTGTGGGACTAACTACACAAGTAAATATTTGCAGATACGAAGCTAGAATTTCAGCTGACATAACTTCTCAGTGAAGCTACGATAAGTTACAGGATGTGTTGTAAATTTTATTTGAGATCCCCTAAAATCCTTCCTATTCAGATATCCATTGGAGGAATCTGAACCCAGCCATCTAACTCAAGCAACACTTCCAGGACACACTAATTGTCCTTGGGTTAAACAAGCTTTGAAGAAACGGCATTTACTAGTCTGGAGAGTTGATGTCAAGTTAACAGGATATACCTCAAAATTGCATATTTTTCTTAGAGGTGTTTTTTGCCAAACTTGCCTAAGTATTTGTAACTTTCAAACAGATTGCATATGTTTTTATAATATTTCTTTGTAATGGACATTTTCATATAAACATGCTAATTCAAAATTGCACGTGTTGACTGCATATTGACTTTAATGTGAATAACCTCAAAATAAGAGGGAAAATCAGAGAGTGTTCTCTTCATTCTTTCTTTAGAGGTGTGAAGGGCAAGGCTGTTAAACCATCCTTTAAAGCAGGTGTCAGTAGCCTTTCCAAGAGGCCTGGAAGTCTCTGCCCCTTCCCTGCTTCAAATGGCTGGCTCCCAGATTCCTCACCAGCAGGATCCTCAGTGTATGGGAGCACTGTGGAGTGAAGGGGCTGTGCAGTGCAGCTTTGTGAAATCAGTCCCCCATCTTGTATATTGGATCTGTACAGGCCGGATCTGATTTTTTTGGAGGCCAGGTCCAGCTCACAGTACCCAAGTTGCTGACCTCTGCTTTAGTCTTTCACTACTTAACCCTCAAGATCGTAACTAGCATTCACTCAGAACTGTAATTATTGAGTGTGTTTTCTGATCTACTTTGTACTGATCTTCTGTTTTGCCTTTCCAGATTACAATGTATTATTCCTAATCTGAATTTTTAATGAATTTATTTTTATTATGATTCTTACAAGTAGTATTGATGATCTTGGCCATTTGTTTTACTTTGTTATTTCAATATGAAGATTACAGAATAAATAATGTTATGTGTTGTGTTTTGCTTTTTAAATCTTTCACTTAACCCATTTATTAAACCTTGTTTTTAAATTAATATTTTGTATTATTTGTTTAACAAACTTGCCACAGTACAGACAGTGAAAAACATTACCTGTGATGGAATTGCATCATTTATACAAGTAATGAATTGGTTTTTTGTGGTTAAGGACTGGATTCATTAGAGAAGAAGGAAAATAGATACTGTACTTTTTCTCTTCCAGCCCAGCCTCTGGCAAACTGACCCCAACGAAGAAAGGGAGCAAGGGCAAGTGATTATGTACCCCCACCCATTTAGGGGATTTGAAGGTTGAATTGCTTGCTGGTTTGTGCTCCTGGATTCCATGCATCCTTTTGCTCAGTGTCACTGCTGGGGCTACATCTTTGTTTTAGGATGTACAGTTCCTTAGTTGGCCTCCAGTCAGAGTAACAGCCGTGTTTAATTATCACTTGCATGTCACTTCCTTCCCATGGATTTTCACCTCTAAAGCAATAGCAGTGCAAATCTTAGCTGAGTTTAGGTCTAAAAGTGTTCTTCCTTTTTCATTTCCTCTTCTTAGCCTAACAACAAGCATTCTTAGCCTTTTATAATAAAGTCCTTATAATTAAATCTATATCTATCCCATCATACAACTAAGTTTTAAAGGACCATCAGTCTTCTGCATGAGTAGTGCAGGCCTCTTCTTGAGTTAGATGTCATTGGTGTTAAAGATTGTGTAACTTTGTATTCCAGTGCCTCTTAATTATGACCTCTCTTCTGCCAGTAAACTCAGCAGAGATTTCTCTAGAATTACACTACTGTATAAGTGTCTAATTCCATCTAATTCCATCCAGGAAGAGCACACACCA